GAGAGGTGCCCACCCTACCTCCCGTCCTTTGGTTCTCTCTCCCAGCATTCCTGTACCCTCTGCTCCCTGGCTTAAGGGAACACACCTTGGAATGGGAAAGTGTCCCTGCCCACCACCTTCCAACACTCCAGCCTCCACCACTATCTCCCCAAAGCCTCCGCTCCCACCTGTGTTTCCTTCTGTCGGAATTGCATTTTGCCCCAGGGCCAAGGGTGCAGCAGGAGTAGAACTTGTGTTACATTTTCTCTTCTGGCTCTTGTTCATCCTGCTCGGTACTTAGAAAAACCAGAGGGCCGGCACTGTGGCTCACTTGGTTAATCCTCCACCTGTGGCGCCAGCATCCCATATGGGCGCCGGGTTCTAGACCCGGCTGCTCCTCTTCCAGGCCAGCTCTCTGCTGTGGCCCAGGAAGGCAGTGGAGGATGGCCCAAGTGCTTGGGTCCCTGTACCTGCGTGGGAGACCAGGAGGAAGCACCTGGCTCCTGGCTTCAGATTGGTGCAGTGCCAGCCGTAGCGACCACTTTGGGGGTGAACCAACGGAAAAAGGAAGACCTTTCTCTCTGTCTCTCTCACTGTCTAACTCTAGCTGTCAAATAAATTAAAAAAAAAAAAAACAGAAAAATAAAAACAAAAATGTGCTATTGAGGCTGGAAGAAATATTCCAAAATAATACAGAGTTGGAAGCCACAAGAGTTTCAAAGTCCATAGCCTTTTCACTGAGCGGAAATGGAGAGTGCTCATCCCCAGCCTTTGGCACCTGATCCCACGAATTGCACTTCTGTCCTGGGTGAGGGCCAGCACCCTGGCTCTCCAGTAGCTGTTGTAGGAGGGTGTGTGACACTGGAGCAATAAATGGCTATGGCTTTATGGGCCAGATTCAGCGCTTCTGTCTCCCACCCCAAATAGATAACTGCACTTGCTGCTAGAAGCCAAATTAAGGTATCTGTTTTAATGCACGCATCCCCCACAAGAGGGCGCACAGAGCCTTCCGAGTGTCCGAGCCCTGGGTGGCTCACAGCTTTGCGGACACCAAGAGCCCACATCAGTGCCGTGAAGTGGCTGGTGGCTGGCAGGTGGCAGGCCAGGAACGTCCTCTTGTCAGCTCCAGAAACACCTGCAGCCTTGGGTGTGAGCAGTTGGGCAGGGAGAGGGTAGAAGCCCAGCAAAAGGCTGACCCTGCTGATGAGAACAGAACCTAGTAGGGGTCTTCCAAAACTTCACGGGAAATGCATAATATGCAAACACTAGACATGGATTTAAACAAAATTTTACAGCAAAATAAAATCTTTTAATTCCATTATTCCACCAGCTTTTTGAAGTCCCCTTGTATCTAGTCCAGTGCAAGGGAGCCCAAGTGGAGAGAAGAGCCATCTCACCTGGGGCCTTATTGATCTATTTCTTGCTACTGTAACAATGCTGGAGGCAGCCCAGCTTTCTGGGTTCATTTAACTCCCTGTTTGGGATCCTGAAAATCCAAGCAGCACGGCGCAGGCCCTGGCAAGCCCCTCCCCCGGCTGTGTCCCTCATGGCAGGTGACAAGGGCAGGAGCATCACAGGGAGGGATCATGTCCAGCAGACAGGAGGCCACGCCACCTCAGGGCTCAGGCTCAAGCTTGTGCACCAGCTCGATCTCACAAGGACTCCGGGTTCCCACGAAAGCTGCCTGAATCCCTTCCTGGGGCAGCTCCCCCAGTGAACTAAGGAGCTCTTCCTAGGCCCACCTCTTAGGGGTCCCACCCCACATGGAGAACGAAAACTCAAACCCAGGGGCCTCTGGGGGCCACACCATAGCAGGGGCTGCCAGTGTGGCTCCAGCCTGGGCTGACTGCTCTCATAAGACTGGGCGGCACTGAGCCACTTGATCGGGGCCCTGGGTTAGCGCCCTGTTGTTTGGTCTCCTGCAGATCTATCAGCCAGACATTCAGCGCTCCCACCAGCCTGGTGGAGAACACAGGGGACGCAGAAGCGGCTTCTCCCAGGGCTGACCTGGCGCCACCCAGAATGTTTCATAGAGGGGGACAAAAGGCACCCAAGTGCCCATCAGACTCGCACTGCTGACCTCAGGGCGGTCTTTCCAGCCGGCCTTAACCTCAGGTACCAGGGTCTGTTCAGGCGTCCAGCACGTGGAGGGGGCAGGCAAGGATTGGGACCTCATTGCCACTGGAGAAAATCCCTTGCCCATTTCCGCCATTGGAGGCCCCCAGCCTTTCCTGGGGTCAGGTGTGCTCACTCGCTCCGTCCCCCCGGCAAGGACTTCTTACGGATGACGGCGGGTACCCTCCCTCTCCTCCCGTTTTCCCCACAGGTCTATGCTCATTGCTAGTTCTCACCACGAGCAGCCCAAGCTGCTACTGACCTGATTCAGCAGGAAAGGAATGAATTTACTTAAAAGGATGGGGCGGGGGGAGGGTGGTGCAGGCCTGCAATGAAGCTTCCAGCAATGACGCCCAAGAGCAAGCTGCAGAGGTGGCCTGAGCAGGAAGCGGCAGCTGCCACCGGGCACTTCCTGCTGCCGTTCCTGGGCTGCGGGAGCCCGCCTCCGTGTGGCGACACCGCAGCCGGAGCCAGGGCTGCCACTGCACCAGGAACACAACCTTGCAGCCTCGGCTGAGGCCCAAAGCAAGTCGGATGCCTTTGCCACCGCCTTCCCTTGGAAAGCACCTGCTCGCACCTGGGCTTTGCTCATGCTGTCACCTAGGACTCAGTACTGTCCCCGTGTCCATGATGAGAAAACTCCACCCCACAGGCCCAAGCTCCGGAGACCCAGGGGCTCTGAACTAGAAGGGTTTATTGAGCTCACAGAGATGCTATCCAGTTAAGGGCCAAGTCCCCAGACAAGTTCCCGCAGCTACGAGCAGCAAGGCTACAGCACGTGCCCTATAAGCCAAGAGCGTGTATAATAAGGAAACTCGGGGTAAGGAAAGCATTAGCTGTTTACATTCATGCTACACTGGCTCTGGATTAGAATGGTGAGAGGGGGCTCTGGGAAGGCGGGGGCTGGGGGGTGGGGGTGGGTACAGTCCCTAGAGAAACACGTGCACTCTGGATTGACTGGGACTGTAACTGGGATGTGGGGGCTGCCTGGGTTTGGTGTCTGCATACGTTCAGAAATGTGAAATAGTTCTTCCGGTTTGGCCCACAGCTGTAAACTGATTAAATCCTCTGTCTTCCTCTCCATCACAAGTCAGAATCCAAATATACACACACACACACACACACATTTATTTGAGAGGCAGAGAGATAGCAAGAGATCTCCCCACCCCCTGAGTTACTCCCCAGATACCACTGACAGCCAGGCGTGGGCCAGGCCAAAGCCAGGAGCTGGGAACTCCATCCAGGTCTCCCATGTGGGTGGCAGGAACCCCAGCACTTGAGCCATCGCCTGCCACCTGCCAGGGTGTGCATGAGCAGGAAGCTGAATCCAGAGTGGAGCTGGGACCTGAATCCAGGACTCCGACGTGGCCTGTGGGTGTCCCCAGCAGGGATTTACCTGCAAGGCCAAGGGCCTGCCCCCCTCCCCACCACCCTGGAGAATTGTTTTTGCATCACTTCTAACAGATTTTAGCTTCCATCTTGGAAAAAGCAAGACTGGGAACTTTCTAAGCATTAGAACATGTGTCAAAAACAGGCAAAAACATGCAATATCCTCTTTGTATTCTACCCCTGGGCCCTCATCATCATCACCTTCCTGCTCCTGACTCCTCCCACCTGATGCTCCCGGCCCTGGGCCCTGTGCACAGCTGAGACCTGAGGTGTTCTAGAAGCCCAGGGAAGGCAGGTGGGCTCCTCTGAGTGGTGAGGAGCCAGCAGAAGGCAAGGCTGCCAGGGCGGTGACAAAGGAAGCCCCCGGGGAGGCCCCCTTCTTAACTACATTCATAACTGTGAGACCTTGGGTGGCCCCCAGGGAGGGGGTCAAACCCTAAGGCCTGTGGGGAGGAGCCAGACAGGTTAGACAGCAGGCTGTCTCGCACAGTGTGTTCATAACATGCATTTTTCATACGTGCATTGAAGAAAACCTTGTATGCATGTTTTCAAAACATTTTTGCACCAAAATAAATGTAACTTTTAATTATTTTCCGGGAACTTTTTGCAGTAGTGTAGAAAGTACACCTCAGTTCTCTTACTTGGGACAAGAGAATAAAGTGACCGGGCTACCTGTTCGCCAGCTTCAGCGCCAGTCTGATTTCAAGTGGCTGCCCCAAGGGCACAGGTGCGTCACTGCAGCCAGCGACCGCCTGCGGCTCCCGGCTTCGGAACCGGGTGACTGCAGCGTGCTCCCTTCCCGTAGGCGGTCTCTCGCCTCCGGAACGGGCGAGCGCCGCGGGGCTAACCTGGCGCTTCCAAACTGCAGAGGTGAGGGAGGTCCCCAGGGATTTGAACGTGGGCCGGTCGGCAGACCCCAACCCAAGAGAGAGGCAGGGAGCCGAAGGGGACGAAGCCCCCAGCGCCGCGGAGCGTGGCCCAGGCGCGCAGAGCACAGATCAGGAGCACAAACCGCAGTGACAGTTGCAGATTGGCACCGAGTGCCAAATGCCGACAGTCAAGTCAAGTTCCAGGAAAAGAAATCCGATCCCGGCCAGGCGCGGGGAGGGGCCGCTACCTTGACGGATGGAGCCTCTCCTTGGGGCGGCATATGGGCACTTACCCAAGTCTACCCGAGGTCCCCGCCCGCTCCAGGGGCCACAGGGCAGCTCCACTTCCACCGGTGAGAAAACCAAGGAGCTATGCGGGCACCGAGCTGGGATTCCAAGCCTAGTGCTCCGACCCCACACCCTTGCGCCCTCCTACCCCCGGCCCATCGGCGAGTCGGGATCTGCAGGAATGACTCCCGCCCACGACCCAGCAGACGCGTCCTCCGTCCCCAAGTGGGCGCCGCACGACCAGAAGGAACCCGGGGGTAGGGCGGGACGCCCGGGGTGGGGGCGGGGAGGCCTGTGGCCAAATCCCCGGGCCGGGGGGACCCGCCGGGACCTTCCGGGCGCGCGGAGCCCGGCCCCGCAGCCGGCGCCCGCCCTGATTGGCGCTTGAGGCCGGCCTCCCGCCGGCTCACCTGCCACTCCCAGCCAATCGGGGCCACCAGAATTGGGGCTGTCATGGGGGGTGGGGGAGTGAAGGGAGGGAGAGATGCTGCCCGCCCGAGGCTGAGCCGCCCTCCCCTGCGAGTTCCCGCCGGGCCCGCCGCAATCTCCACCCTGAGTCCGAGCCGCCGGCTGCGCGCCCCGCGCCCCCTCGAGCGCGCTCGCCGCCCCGCGCGCTTTGATGCAGCGGCTCCGGGCCGGGGCCGCGCGGCGCCTCAGCTCTCTGGGACGCGCCCCCGACGGCGCCCGGAAGCCCCTGCAGAAGCCGCCTTCCCACTGCCACCAGCCGGCCCTAGCGAGGGGGCGGGCGGCGCCGGGGGCAGCCCCGCTGAGGCAGGATGTTCACCTCCAAGTCCAACTCGGTGTCGCCGTCGCCGTCCCTGGAGCAGGCCGACTCGGACGCACTGGACATCAGCACCAAAGTGCAGCTCTACGGGGTGCTGTGGAAGCGGCCCTTCGGGAGGCCGTCGGCCAAGTGGTCCCGGCGGTGAGTGTGCGCCCCGCTGCTGAGAGGGCCTCGGGGAAGGGGCCCGGGCCCGAGCACCCCTCCAACGCCCTCCGGTCCTCGCGCTGCCTCTGCCTTCCCCCGTGACCTTGACCTCGCTCCCGGCTGGCTGTCCCTGAAGATGTGGATCTTAGTCTGGGCTGGGGTCATCTTTGCTCGAGGGCTGGGAGGCGCGGGGTGGAGGCCACTGACCTGGAGAATGAACTTGGGTTGCATGGGCAGCTCGGGAGAGCTGAAGACAAGAGGGTGGCTGTGACTGGGGCCCACCCGGGCCAGGCCGGGCCAGAGTCCGCCACGGCGGGAGAAGTCCCATCTTCCAAAGATGGGATCCTCCTGGGACACCCACTGCCAAGTGCACCCTCTCCCAAGGCCCCCTCCCCCAACCGCAGAAGCTGGCTTCCTTCCCCACCCAGAGCCAGCCCTGGGCTTGTCCTTTCGCAAGGCTCCGTTCCCGGGGCCCAGGAAGGGTCCATGCTTCCGCTGAAATAAATAATATAAATAAATAAGTATATGTACATGTAATTACAGGTTATATGTAATCCATATGTATAATTACTGGCTTATTGATGTTAGTTGAATGGCAGAGGTCTTCCATCTACTGGTTCACTCCCCAAAAGCCTGAACAGCCAGGGCTGGGACAGACTGAAGCCAGGACTTTCATCCCCGTCTCCCACATGGGTGGCAGGGACCCCAGCACTGGAGCCATGGCCTGCTGGCTCCTAGGGTGCCCATGAGCAGGAAGCTGGGGTTGGGTGTGGGGCTGGGACTGGAGCCCTGACACTCCAGTGTGGGATGAGGGTGTCCCAGCCACCCAAATGTGCCTGCCTATATGTATGCTTGTAATGTGGGCCAAGAGAACAGAGATTTCAGCACTTGGGGCGGAGGAATACCGAGAGCGTGGGGGAGGGGACACACTGGTCCTGTCAAGGATGGCTCCTTGGAAGGTGGTGGGAGTGGGGGTGGGGGGAGTCAGAGCAGCCCCCGCCGTTCACCACCAGCTTCCTGGTCCCCAACTCTGCGGAGACTCTCAAGCAGTCAGTAAGGGCTGAGTCTGCAAGGTGTTGGAGGAGAGGGAGCACACAGACCCCAGACTTGTGGGAAGCGGCCAAGGCCAGCTTCGGGGGCCCTCTGCCGTCTCCTGGCTGTTCAAAGGCTGGCCTCGGGAGCCCAGCCCCTGTCCCTGCCTCCCAACTCATCCAGGAAACCAGGGATTCAGGTAGATGCCCCAAGTTCCCCGTCCTACCCACACCGTGAGTCTGGCCCTGAGTGGGGGTGGGGGTGGGGTGGGGTCTTAAGATCATGTGGGAGTGGGAGCGGTTACTTCTGTTCTGATGAATAATTGACTATTTCTGTGAGACCGCAGGACAAATGGAGCTGTGGATTGCGTTTCAGATTTTACACAGCCGGGCGCGTGTGCTTTTGTTGCTTCCGACAGCTTTCTCGCTGGGATTTAATGGGATACAGATTCCCTGGGTGCCTCCCAAGTTAAGCTTGGCTCTGACCTTTTCCACGGAGGCCGGAGCAGCGTGAGGAGCCCATGAGGGGCATGCGGGGTTGTGCTCGCAGAGCTGCAACCTCCAGGGCCAGGGCCAGCCTCATCCCTGTCTGTCAGGGCCAGCCTCGCCTCTGTCTATCATCAGGACCCTCCGCAGGAGTGGGAAGGCAGCCATTAGACCTGTAGGCTAGAGGAGCTCCAGCAGAATATCTGCCCTCCTCCTGCCCTGGCTGCCCCAGGCAGCCAGAGCTCCTTCTCCACTGGGCCGGGCTGCCGTCGCTGGCATCGCCTCTGGATCCTGTCCTCAAAGGCTTCTCTTTCCAGGCATTTTCACTTGATTGCTAAGTGGCCCTCAGCGTACCCCTCCTGCCTTCCCCCACCATGCAGGCACAGTGGGAACCTGGCCCAGCACCCACCGTTGATTCCAGGGCTGGGAAGTGTCAGGGTAACCCCTCCCAGCTGAAGGCACACAGGTGGAGGTGAGGGAGTTTGGAGAGCTTTAGGACCCCCCTCCAGCCCAGGAATCTCCATCAGGGGTCCCCACAGTTACCCCGGAAACCATCCAGCATCAGCAGTGTGCTTGCTTGCAAACACAGCTGCAAGCCCAGTCTCACAGCCCCCTCCCAAAGACTGTGTCTCCTACTTCCCCTCCTTTATGGGGACTCTGGAGCTGTCCCTGGGCAGTGACTCCCCCCACCCTGTTCCCTGGGGCTCGGGAAAGAAGTGACATCACACATGGCCACTCTAGGCCTGTGTCCATATCCCCAATTCTGGGAACACACACATGCGCGCACACACACACACACACCATCAGAGCAAGCCAGAGAGGCTCCGGCAGGTGTGGCAGGGAGACCCATGCTCAGTTCAGCCCCCTCTTGCTTCCCAGCAGGGCCCCCTGGGCCCCAGTTGCCCATCTGTGAAGAGGAGTCTCTGGACCTCAGCTAATGAGAGCCACAGGAAAGCCTGGGGACAGGACAGCTCCGGCCCGCCACTGCAGAGCCTCACCATTAGGGCGATCGATGCCTGGCTGGGGTGGCCCAGGCGAGGGGGCCAGGAAACGCTCAGTGCTGCATAAATAGCCAGCCGGCAGGATAGAACCGACTGCGGCCAGCTGGGTTCCATAAAACCTCCTCCCCTCAGGGTCTGTCTTAGGACATCTGCCTCCAGCCTTCCCCCCCCCCCCCCCCCCCATGGAGATTAAAGGATTTGTTCAAGGTCTCAGACAGACCAGACCCAGAACCATTTGAAAATCCCAACCTCTGGATCTTGGGCCATTATTTTCCTTCTCTCAACACATATTTCTTCTTAAAAAGAGTCAGGAGTATGTATTAAATGGTTATAGACTTCATATGTAAGTTTTACTGTAGAATAGTTAGTTAGACTTTTGTAGCTTAGTATCCTGTGGAGGACACAGCAGCAAACTAGAAAGTATATGACTTCAGAAGCCAGGAAGACCATGACCCACGATGAGCGCTGTCATCTTCTAGCTACATGATATGTCCAAGAGCTATTTAGTCTCTCTGAACTTCAGTGTGCTACTCTATAAAATGGGAGTATAATACTACACACGACTAGTTTTTGACTTTGACAAACGAGTTAATATGTACTATAGTGCTTAAAACAATGCATTACATAGGGTATAATCCAGGAAATAAGATGTACAGTCTCAGATATCTCTCTCTGTATCAAA